ATTCCTGCTCCCCCCCTTCCTTTTTAAAATATATCCATTACAAAAATGGATGAGGCTTTATGCAAAGAACCTATCTTAAATATGTGCACTGCCTGCAACTCCTCCAGCCACTCAGTGTTGTTGTCATACACCTTGTAATACTGTGCTGATGCAAAATTATGTTGACACATGCCGTTATAAACCCGTACTTTCTGGTGCAGCAAGTCTTAAGCTTAGGCAGTTACTCTCATTTCATCTTCCAAGATTCACAGGATGTTTAGCTGCAAGAGCCTACCTACTCTTAGCCTGAAGGCTCAAAGAAACCTTTACAAACTTTCTTGGCCCTCAGGTCCCCTTTCATTCACAGCATGTACACAATGCTTCTAAGATTTTTGAATTTCTTGGATTTATCATTTTCATCCATGTCTTAAGAAATGCTTACAGGAACTCATGCTTCCTGAGCATTGTCTGTGATTCTCCCGCATGTGCTCAATGCCACAGGATTCCATTCAAACCATTCACATGAGAGAGTTCACCAAATGGACATCTCAGCTGTCAGGCTCTCCAAGGGGAGGCCAACAGGAATTATCCTGCCTTACGCAAGACACATGAATCTACAGGTGGCCTATGGGTGTTGTTACAGTGATGCTCCTTAGTTAGAGAACAAAACTTTCAAGAGCACCAGACAAGCAGAGATGTTAATGATCTAAGGCCACAGGAGGTTAAATAAATAATGTATATAGTAATACCTGCCCTTTGCTTGCTTAGGGTTGATCAACTTTTCAGCACTGGGGTCTGGTATCAAGTCCCTGCAGTACTGTGGCATGACAAGTTGGACCTACCAAAATCCCCCAACCTAGCAGTTCGAAAGCAAGAAATTGCTAGTAGATAAATAGGTACCACTTCAGTGGGAAGGTAACAGCGTTCCGTGCGCCTTGGTGTTTAGTCATGCCGGCCACATGACCACGGAAATGTTTTCGGACAGTGCTGGCTTTTCGGCTTTGAAATGGAGATGAGCACCGCAACCCTAGAGTCGGATTCGACTGGCTTTCGAGCAAGGGAACCTTTACCTTTACACAACTCAAAGGCGCAAGAGCCTTTGTAATTCAGTCAGAGTGCTTTGGGGATGTTTGCTTGACAGTCAGTGCCAACATTCAGTTAGGTGCTGTCTGCTTAATGTAGGCACTTTTTGGAGGACGGAGATTATCCATGGATCTTCCTAAACTTCACACCAGATACTGATAATATGACTGCCTCTCCCATTAGCCAAACAAAGGCCGGACAGGAATCAGGAAGCAAAGTGCTGAGTGCAGCAAGTACACCTAGGATTCAATAGCATATCGAAAAGCATTCCATATTTAAGTAAAGTTAAGAGAACTGGGTTGAATCCTGAGGGAAAGATCCCCGTGCGCAAGGGGAGGAGGCGATTTTCACCAGTCCCCTCCAACCCACTTGCAGCAACAGGCTGCAACAGGAGTAGGGAAACAAGGAAAGCCACGGCTTCCCTGCAAAGAATTTAGACAGGACGCCACTAGGGTTGCCAACTCCAGGTTAGGAAATTCCTGGAGATTTGAGGGTGGAGCCTCAGGAGGGGAAAATTTGGGGATGGAGCTCAACAGCGATGTGATGCCACAAACGCCCCTGTAGAGTTCCTAAAAAGCAGTCATCTCCAGGGGGAACTGATCTCGGTAGTTTGGAGATCAGTTGTAATTCAGGAGAACTCCAGGCCCCACCTGGAGGCTGGCATCCCCTGGTCAGTCTAATATCGCACTTTCAGCTCAGATAAAATACCAATTAAAGACTGTTAGCAAGACTCTCTAGGGCAGGGGGTGGGTAAAGCCAGAGGCTCTTCACCATTACAGAAAATAAGATAAGGGACAAAAAGCACAGCAAGTACAATGAAAATTGAACTGAAGGCAGTTTTAGTAAATGGATCTATATTACCCGGGAAATTGTTGAGCCTTCTTCATGGAAGGTTTTAAAAAGGCTTAGTTTCCACCCAGGTGGCAAACCAAACTGTACTACTACAGACTTCAGGTGAAAATTCATATAATCCGTTAAAAAAACCCCACCCTTCTGGGCATGGTTAACTAGCACATCAGTCAGAACACAACACCAGAACCCTTCTCCCTGACATCCCATTTGTGTGAACAGACCCTCTCCCCCTTTTTGTATTACAAAGCACTTATGTGAACAGACCCCCTCCCCCTGTTTGTATTATGAAGCATTCAGCCATATGGGTCTCTGTACGCAATCTGAAATGGTACTACTCAGACACAGAGGTATCACTTCAGTGAATAAATCCAGCCTCAGCACATGGATTAGATGTTCTTCAGCATTCTAATTGCAAGGAAAGGTAATATGGACTTCAGCTAAGTGGGACACTGTCTGGATACAAAAAGGACGCCAATTTCTTCTCCTGCAGTCTATAGTCACCTGCAAGTGAATTCCTTTCTCCAAAGTTCAATTTCTGTGCCCCCCATAATTTAAATGTACTTCTAGATGGGCAGCTGTCATGAGCCAGGACTAGCAGACTAGCAGGACCAGCATAGGTGACACAGCTGCAGTGAAAAAAAGACAATGTAGTGCCAACCTTCCTTTGCACAACCTGGTACGTGCTTGGGAAGTACCTCCCCATACCCAGTTCCTGTTTACCACACTTCTACAGAAGCTCTAGACAGCAGAAGCATTATCTGGAGAAAAGCCTCCCTTGTGACCCTTCCCTGATTTCCTTTGTAATTTGAATGATCTTGTCCAGCATTTATTAAAATATGAAAAAACCACTGTTCCCAGGCAGGTGGATTCAAGTTTAACATAAGCATGACATACAGTGTTTGAGCCTCTTAATTTTTTTTGAAGATAATCCCTCTTCTCCCTCAGGTGCCAGAAGCTGAGACCCTGAAGGTCCTCTCTCAACCTTTCCCTTAACCCTTCCATCTGTTAGACAATTAAATAGGAAAGTTTCAGACAGACTAAACCCATGTGATCGACCAGAAGCAGATACCCTCCATATGGATATTAAGCATGACTTTTTTAAAAAGTTAAAATGATAAACATGGTTAAGCCAACCCCCCCCCCTCAAACCAGGCTACTAACTACAAGCCTCATCACAGCAAATTAAGCATCAGGGACTTGGACCAAGCTTTTGTTGCCAGCATGCACTGTGAATTATGGCCCCTGCCCCTCCCCAGGCTTATACAGAATATAGTCAGTAAAGAGGTCAGGAGCAGGAAAAGGGGAGCTCTTAACAGGGGGGTTGGCGGCTCTCTCTCTTATCTTGCCCTTTTTGTTGTGCACTCATATCCAACAACCTGCAGTAACGTTTCAAACAGTCTCTGTTTGCCCCCCCCCTTGCCCCCTGCACAGATAAGGGATTCTAGAGATCCATTTATCAGCATCTAAAGTGAGTCACTACCTCTGCCGCTCTGCATCGCGTCAAGAAACACCCCACCCACCCCAACTGGCACCAAGTGTAAATAAAAACAGAAAGAGCATGGAGTTATTTCAGACCGCCACCCTTCCCCGCTTAACTTACATTATTCTACCTTGCTGAAGATACCCTGGAGTGTTATCACAGCCAACTCCTTGGAAACAGCACTGGAATACAGACTGTGAGTGTGTGTGGCTGCATCTCGGCAGTAGGGTGAACTCAGCCACTCACCTTCCAGGAAGAAGAGATTCCTGGAAGTGAGAGAAACGGCCGTCATTTTACAGTCAAGCAGCACTGTTTGAGCAGGAATCCATACAGCTGCAGTGTCCCCTTTCGCTGAGATTCAGGCTCGTTCCCCTATTGCTTTGTGCCTCATGTCCTAAAATAGAGCTACAGGGTGGCATCCTTTTAGTGAGGTTAAAAAGAACAGCAACAATGAGCACACACACACATTGACTTGGCGAGACAGGGCAAGAAAGTCCATGTAAAACACCACTGTTGTTGTCCACCCTGCATCACTTTGGCAACAGAAATGGATGCTGCACACTAAAAGGACATGTTGCTCTGGAGAGATAAGAGCTCCCATCAAGAGCTTTTAACAGTCCAGAAACTGACAGCAGAAACTGCACAAGTACAATGAAATACCTCCATAGGCGTTTCATTGAGGGGAAAAAAATCTATTAGCAATTGCGCCACACTTGGCACAACTGATTCATCCTGTAATAATAAAGCATTCACGCGCCTTTGTCTAACTGATTTCTCCTAGCCAAACGGTAGCCAGGTTAAAACCTTACGTGCATGATTAGCATAAAGAACAGGTTTCATTTGAATATTTTCTACTTGTTGTGCAAATTGAGGGGAACCAAAGGAGGGAGGGAAGGAAGAAATCTATTCTTGAATACATAAAGCATCGACCTGAGTGAAAAGTGTGATCGGGCTCTTTTGGAAGATAATAACTCCCAAGATGCAGTAAATTATCCTTACTAAAGCTTTAGGGAAGTAGAAAGCAAGGATATCCCCATGTATTTTTCTCCTCTTTTTAAATCTAAAGGGTCATGAGTCAAATCCATTACTCTCTTAAAATCCTCACTCAAAATAATTTCCTCTTCTGCCTTTTCTAAGAGTTCAATAACTTCCTGGAAAGATATTTTGTGTTTGGAATAGGGAACACAATTCATCTTCTGATTTGAAACACACCCTTTAACATTATATAATTTTGCACGCTCATTACAGGAAAAAAGATCCATTCTAAAACAAAGAACAGTAGGTGTTGTATCAGATTAGTTGATTTAAGTGAATTGTAATGAACTTGCACATGAATAAGAATAGTTTTGAAGAAAGGAGAGCATGCTTTACTTTTAAATACTAAACATATGCGTCTTAGCAAGGCTGTAACTGCAAAAGAGGTATTCCCTTCTGTGTAAGAGAATGCCTCTTCTACTATATAGTACCTGCAAGGTTTACGGTTTTAAAAATGTCATCCCCCCCAAAAAAAAAAGTCTGCTACCTGAATTATTTTTATTAATTATTTTTAATTGAATCTAGTTGATTACTCAACTAAATGTTGCAAACGTAGTTATTTCATGGCAGGCCTAAGCTTTAATTAAGAAAGGGCTAGCCTGCACTCAGAGTAGGAAAAACTTTAAAAATTCCTGGAAGCCAGAACAAAAATTGTCATTGTCACCTCTGCATATAGCTGAGAGAAATATTTCACATTCCAAGCAATGTTTTTCAAAGCTATATGACTAGCTCCTTCGAGTTTTTCCAGCCTTGCCTGTGTGTTTACTCCACACCAGTATTGATTTCACACATTAATGATCTGCTTCTAACCTGTCAGATTTAAACTGCAAGATGTATCCTCCTTGGGTTCCCCTGGAATCATTTACACTGACAGCACTGCATATAGCTGAGAGAAATATTTCACATTCCAAGCAATGTTTTTCAAAGCTATATGACTAGCTCCTTCGAGTTTTTCCAGCCTTGCCTGTGTGTTTACTCCACACCAGTATTGATTTCACACATTAATGATCTGCTTCTAACCTGTCAGATTTAAACTGCAAGATGTATCCTCCTTGGGTTCCCCTGGAATCATTTACACTGACAGCGGAGAGGGGCAGGCGTACGCCCAGAGGTCATTTCGGGGGGGATCGCGGGGGATCGCAGTTCCCCTGGGTGAGGTACGGGGGGCGGGGCACATGGCG